TATAAAATCTTTTACCCCATTAATAAACTCTTACTACAGTTAATCAGTAGTATAACACATAGTACAAGATATTCATCTACAGAAACTCAATGCAAGTGCAATCACTTTCCATTTCTGATAGGTATATTCAACTGCAAATTCCCTCCCACCCCACAAAAGGTCATTCATGCTTTACAGATCTTATATTCGGCAGTACATGGAGTGCTGTCACGTTTCCTACAAACAAAAAAACAAGTCAAATCAGAGATTTTTACACTTAAATGGTTTTTACATTTATTCTGAAAGCACATCCTTAGTTTTTGTCATTAAATCAACATTAAATTTCATTAAAGTCATGAAACTAAATCATTATTTGTCCTCTTCTTACTAAGCAACTGCTAGACAGACATTTCTGCTCCATTTCATCCACTAGACTGTTAAGAATGACCCACGGAGTACAAGAGCATTTGATCCAAATGGATCATTTCAAGTGATGAAGGGTCCATGCCAGAGTATTATCAAAACCAGAAAGCAGACAGGAGAGTTACAGGATTCCTAACTAATTTGGAGACTACATCAGGAGCAATTCCTTATAATTTATTTCAAATACGATAAATTGTTTAGTACAGATTTTATAACCAGAAGCTGAAGATTAGTTTGTGAGAATTTAGATTTTGTAGTCTAACAGCTTACAATACTTAAACATGAGGATTAAAATTCACAATCACATCCATATATATGTGCATTCAAGTTCTTTAATAACTCCTGTTTTGCTTTACAGAAAAAAAACCCATACCAAACCTCTGCACTATTACTCTTAAGTAGTTCCAGATACCATAAGAAGAACTCAGGGATTAATAGTCTGTGCACATACCAGACCTTAATTTCTCTTATCACTGTCATGTGCAACAGGTAAGTTTGGAAATAAGAACTCTATTCTATCTCTTGATTCCTTTTTTTTCTCTCTCCAAACTAACCCAGAAAACTAATCTCAATTAGAAACATCTTACTTCAGAGGCAAAGAAAATATTCCTTAATCCATACATTAATTTGGAAGAAACTCCAAGCTTAATTTTCATATATGCCCTCTCAAACGTATCAAAAATCCTGAAAAGTCACTTGTTCTTTAAAAGTAAGTAAAATCAAGGCTATGCATTTGAAAAGACCTTTGCACTAAGGAAGAACAAGAGACACAACTTTTCAACCATTACCTTCCCAGAATCCATGCAACAGAGAAAAGTGACACCAATGACGATACTAGTTTACAAAAGTATTTGTAGTGCAAACTGTAACAGTTGAGGTAGTAACAACAAAATACTGAGAAGGAGCAGCCAAACTAAGCTGTCCTGTCTTAAATCTGTCCTGGTGGAAGGAGGTCTGAAGAGTCAGGTTTTTGGAAGAGCTAATTTGACCCTACACAAGTGCAGGAGCAATCCTGACTACCATTAAATACACCTGACTGCTGGAGTAACCACTAGTTAAAACATAAGAGAGGAAATCCACTCCAAAAGAAGCAACTATATTTTGACCCTTTTTAGGGCTACAGAACTCTGAATTTGAAAAAGAAATCACCTTTTTATGAAAAGGTTTAAAAAGAAGACTCTGTTTGCACCTTCATTTATTTAATTTTTCTTCTAGAAAGGTAAAAATACAGATGAATCAGCAATTCAGAGAGACATGTAATGTGGTTTTCTCTGAAGGGATCCACACTACCTTTATAATTCTAGTGTCCATGTAATGCAGCAAAGGTGGTTTCCAGCTCCAACAGGGAGGGAATTATACCATCAGCTAACAAAAGTAACACGTCACTGGAATGCACTTCACATTACTGAACCAGGTGCAAACGTTCTCCTGAGTACGTCTGTAGTTTTTGTCTTACAGAAAAATACACTGCCCATTCCTTAAAGACAACCCAAAACTAGGATATGCGATACATAATCACTGGAACCTACAATTTACAACACTGAAAGACGATTCCTTATGTAATATATCCTATTCTCCCCGAATGAATGGCTATTCTAGCCTTCCCTACAGGAATCTGAGGTTCACAACTCGATTCCACACTTCTCCTGAAACTCTAAGTAAACCATAATAAAAAAAGACACTTGAGCTTCATTGCAAATATCCAAATTAAGTGGAAAGTGTATACCTTTTCATGATTCAATTAATTCATTTGTGCAGTTTCTTCCATCTCAGCTGGGACATTAGCTTTTAAAATACATGTTTCCTTGCAACTCTCATCAACTGTATACGAGCTGAACAGCAGAAGGGGAAAAAGGTCTAATTGAATGTCCTATAAAACTGGCAGATTAAACACACAAAGAGGGCAAGAAAAGATTTTTGCTGTAATCTGAAGACTACAACTCAGCAAGTATGAGGCACTGGAAGCACAACAGCTCACAAAGGCTCAGCTACATCAGAAATCCAGAAAACTTAAATAGGGAGATCTAGGCCTTAGTAAAAGGAGATTAGATCAGAGTTGTCAGACAAGAAAGAGGTGTAATAGTTGGATGTTCACAGCGAGGAAGCTTAAGGAAAGCATGGGGTGCAATAAGACTTCTCATGTTGTAAAGTTCTCAGGAATTCTTTAGTTTTTGATCATGTTGTTTTAGATCCCTCCTCTTTCCTACACCCTGAGAAGTCCCTCCACAGACGAAGGCAGAAAGCGCTGCCCTAATACTATTAACCCCCATTATCTGCACCATGCAGACTGCAGATTATCTAAGTCATGGATGAAAAGCAATTGCTCAAAAGCACTGAATTACTTAGCAGCACAGAGGTACACAGTCACACTGCGTACAGGGTGACTCTGGCCCATGTAAGGATACTGTACGGCCCGCAAGGCTAAAACCTCACCGGGTGTAAGCTAGCTTCAGGGTTCTCCCCAGCAGTACTGTGTGGACTTTGTTACAAGTATGAACTGCAGGAATATTTCCTCTGGTTTACTTTGTTTAAAGCATCCCTTCCTTTGTTTCATGCACCCCAGATAAATTCCAACAGATGTTAAAAAGTCAGTTCTGATGAGATGCTTATTCTGTGTACCACCTAACTTGGAATTTTCAGTATTTTGCGTGTTACAAACTATTTCTCCAACAAACCAAGTTTTTTTCAAGAAGATAAAATAAGACATCACTGCAAGAAGCAATGCACAAAGAGGCATTTAAATCTCCTTCCACCCCTCCACGAAAAAGCATACATAACAATCAGGTGTTTTGAAGATAAAGCTCAAAGGGCCCTTTATGTCTCATTAGAAACACAAGAACACTACTACTTATGCATCTAATATTTTACAGTTGATTTTGCAAGTCTTTAACATAGGAACACCAATCACTGCTGCTGCAGGAGAAAAACTGAAGTGGATCCACACATCAAACATTCCAGTAGCAAAGCTGACTACTTGCTTTTTCAAACAGCATAGGAACATCAGTTTTGGTAAATTTTTTTTTTCCTCCTGTTTTCCTTGTAACTGAGCCCATATTATTTTATTCAAGATGCTTCTGGTCCAAAAACAAAAAACACAGTGTTTCACCAGTCACCCTCCACTACTGTTCGTACATCTTATGTAGAAGAGAGGAAGCTCCTTAGGTCACCTCCAAGGCTCTTAAAGCCTGAGACCTAGTGATGCCAGAGGGTACCCAACAATAAATTAAGAGATTAAGCCCAGACAGCCAATAACACCACTGGTTTTAAGAGGTAAACTGACACGTTTTAGAGCAGCTGCAAACATTACTTTCCTTGGCAAGTGTACCTATGCCAAATACAATCTTAAGGACAGGGTCTTCCCTTCCTTGAAATTAGTGCAAGTGTTAATTAGCAGCTGATCTGAATAACAGATACAAAAACAAAGGCAAATATATTGTTAGGCACTTTAGCTTTCCATCAGCTGCTGCAATAAGCTCACATATAATCATCAGGCATTTGAGAAAGAAAGGGCAGATAAAGCTCAAGAAACTTACATATGTGTTAGCACTGCTTTTGCTCAGTCATTTAGAAATTTGCAGTAATAATAATAAAGTAGGCTTACTCACCCATTTTGTGAAAAGAATTTCTTATAGACCCAGAAGGCTGCCAGGAACACCACAACTGCCACAATCACTTTGGGAAGAATAATTAAAAAAAAGCCTTAGGAGTGATAAAGATCATCTCTAGCTCACAGAAAAGCCTCTGAAAGTTTTAGCAGAAATAGCACTGTCTTCACCCACAGCCCTACACAAGTTGTCGTGCCCCCCCAAAAAAAATTACATGGCTAATTTCACAAATATGTATTTGATGCTGTACTTAAGGCTCTTCAAGATAGTTCAGCTCAAGAACAGCAACCACCAAGACAGGAAAATCCCACCAGCTCAGTAACATTAAAACAGATATGTCAACATCCTAACATTACATTTTACAACAAGTTTGTAAGAAAACCAGGCAACAAATGCAAGGACAGAAGAGGGACTAAGCACTTTAGTTCACTGGCACAGTTATTTATTCACATTTCCAGTAAACCCAAGCTCTGAAAAGTTTATGAAAGTGACTAAGTTGCGGCATACTGCCTTTGACATCTGATGGCTCACATCTGTGAAAAAATACACATTTTACATGAAATCCACAGATCTTGTTCAGGTTTTAGAAGATACTTACCACAGATAATGACTGTAACATACGCACCTAAAAACAGAGTGCAACAGTATCAGAAGAGGAACACATGTCCTTCCTATCTGAACATTGTTATAAAAATATTCACAAAGTTATTTCAAACAGAGCGAATACTTCTGTCAACACAATCCTTGCAGCAGGACAGTTTATATCATAACAGTTAATCAACTTAAAATATTCTTATTTTTAAATGGATTTTACCAAAACCTATTTTTCATATGTCAAAATAAAGAAGGAAGTTTAAATTATTTCTCCTGAATACAAAAGAATGTTCCCCAGAAGTAAAGCTTCTGTTACACGTTATTTTCACTCTACTGGAAATTCTTGTAGTTCATACTTACTTAACTGGCACGTTGGCACTCCAGGAACCCATTGGTTTTCTCCAATATACTGAATACGAGCTTCACCATGTAATGTGTAGCCTGCATAACATTCAATCGTAATAAAATCCCCAACAGAATATGAAGGTTTTTGTCCATCAATTACTCTACCATAATTTATGTGTGGAGTGGAACCAGAACTTGGAGGCCCGCCTGGAAAGGGGAGGGGAGGAGAAAAGGAAATAAAGTCCAAGAACAGAACCGGTACAGCAGATTCAAGACGTTGCCATCAAAAAGTCCCCACATGTGTCTAAATATCAGAAGCCCAGTCAGTCCTTAAGACATCTGACATGCAGAAGCTTCCTGCTTCCTAGAGGCTGGAGATACTTCTGCTGATGGTCATCATCCAGAAACATGAACAGAAATCCACGTCTCAGCTTCATTAGGACAAACAGTTGCATCAAAGTAATAACCACCTCTGCTTATATTATAACAAGTGATCACACAGTGCAAAACAAGGCGAGAATAAAGTCTGCCATCATCAAAGAATCTTCAGAAAACACTCCTAGAACAGATCTTTCTGGCTTTTGAACAATTTCCATAAACAAAACCACGACTGAACAAGGACTCTAGCTCTGTCCAAAACTTTCCTGTTGCTGAAACTCCACCCCCCGACACTCACAGCCCACTAACGTCACCTGCGGCTGCTCTGCTCACAGGCCTCCGACTTTCAGGGTCTGGATATTACTACACCAGACATTTGGAACTTGTCACTCTACCCTTGATTTTACCAATTATGAGTTTTACTCACAAGCACAGTTTTGTAAAGAACTCCACGTATCCTGTCCTTGACAAGTTACTGTCATCTCTTCGGCGCCATCAGGAAAAGTACAGTGAGCATGGCACTTTATCTGAACAGACTCTCCTCCTTCATAAACAGATTTCACGGGAATCACTACTCCATGCATGATCTTCGGGGTGCCACATCCACCTAATACTTGAAGTGAAAAGCAAGTTTAGTGATCAAGAACTTTAAATATTTCATAATTCATGAATTCACTCCACAAATACACGTAGCCTTTGTACAAGAAAAATAGATCAGCATATCTGAATAGTTCACCACAATTTTAGGTATAAATGTTTCCTTTAGAAGACTGAAAAGAAACATCACTGTAGGTATTCATTAAGGTAACACGACCTTATGATGTGGTAGCTAAGAAATTTGTATTTGTTGCTTAACTAGTTCTTTCCATCAGAATTCACAAACATACCTTTTCTCCTACATTTACACACGAAAACACTAGAACAAACACCATGATGCTATTACAATGCAGTAGCATCACAGTATGTCCATGACACATTTTCCAGATGCATGTCTATAACTCAACTCACTCTCATTCAAAAATTCTTTGGAGTTAAGTCCCTCGAACACCTAAAATGGTTGCCCACAGATGAGACTCCATGTCAACTTCCTTAGTTTCTGATTTCCAACAACAGCGTTACGATTTCAAATTTTAGCTAAGACAGACTTAAAATGTTCTCAACATACAAAAGAAGTTGGATTCTTATTTAAAGGCTTACTTTTTTCACAAGTTGGTTTTTGAGGAGACCAGGTGTTATTTTCTCCACAGGTAATTATCGCTGATCCGATCAAGAAATAACCTGGATCACACTCAAACACGACTGAGTCCTTATAGCTATAGGAAGGTCCAAATCCATGGGTTTTTTTTCCATTTTCAACTTTTGGATTATCACATTTGACCACTGAAACAGGTAAAAGAAAACCAGCTCTGAAACATTTGTTAACAGTATCTTTGCAACAGACACAACATCCTTTTACTACTTCTAAGTTTCCTTAAGTAATTACTCAAACTGTTTTGGAGAAGCATTGTAAAAAAGTTATTCTCTTGAAAGTGCAGAAGGTCCTTGTTTTAAGCTATTGAGTCGTAATGGCACAAAGTCAAATAAGAAATTGTAATAACTGATATAATCGCGTTCCACTTCCATAAGTGATATTCCCGTACAGTGGCAGAATTTCAGAAAACGAAGTGATACCGATTAAGGTTCAAATGACAACATGCAAGCATCTGGTATTTCTCCCTATGTCTGCAGAGCAAGACTCCGTGTTTGCTGGGCTTTGTGTTTATTTCTGCACCTGCATAGTAGCTGTGTTTAGACAAAGAGTTCTTCCTTACCTTCCTTAAAAGATCTTCTTACTACTATACATAATCCAGCGGCCACATTCTTGCTCTTTACACAACTTTTCTTCACCTACCAAGGCTTTATGGTCTCTCAGTTCCTTTACTTCGTCCTTCTCACTTCTACCAACAGCACACTCATACATATATTATAAAAGTTTTAACTTAAATTTTAGTCATATTCTGTGTCATAATCAATCAATAGCCATAATGCAGTTGATCTGATATCCATGGGATCTACATTCAATTTAGTACCAGAGGATCTGTTTATTCTTTTCCACAGGGAATTCCATTCCCTCCCACTCCTTCCAAAAAAAAAAAAGGGGAGATACTGACATTTTGGAGTCACATAGGCTATAATAAAGTATATTAAAAATCCCAACAACCTCTACATTGTGGAGGTGGTTCACTCCAAACTCCATTTGAGTGTGCATCGTAAGTGCAGAAAATAGTAGCTGGGCCAATAAGTGACAAGGGATCTGCGCCTTTTGGTACAACATTACACGTGTAGGTTACCGATGTCTGATAAACATAGCTCGGTGCTTCAGTGTAGTGCCCGTTGGCTATGCTTGGAGGCGGTTCACAAGGAATTCCTAGAAATAAACCACACAAATTAGTCTACAGAATTTTGCTGTTACGTTGTTCATCTCAGAAACAGCGACCCCTTGATTTTCAAGTAATTTAATTTAAAATCTGACATATAGGTACTTCTAAGACAAGCTACAGTTACAACTGGGAGTTACCAAAGGTCATTTACTACAGGGTGTCTCAAATTTAAGATGTTGACTTTAACTAATATGAGCTAACTAACACAATAACTGATATTTTTCAGTGGTCATTCCTCAGGCACATCCCCAGTAGTTGCAAAAAAATAAAATTCAGTCCTATTTTACCATCATTTCTTATACTGGAAAGCTTATAGCACAGCTGTTTTTAGATGACCTACCACCATCTGAATATGAACTTAAACACAGCAGTAATATACTTACTTTCACAGAAAGGAAGATCTCTATTCCAGTCAACACCTTTATCCTTAATTACACAGGAAATTTCATCTGTTCCACGTAATCTGAACCTAGACAGGTAAAAATTTTTAAAGAAGTGAACCTTAAGAAATCTCTCTTTTCTCCAACAAACAGATAGAAACTTTATGTAATTCTGTTCTGTGAATATGAGGACTCAACATACCATATTTTTGTTGTAATGAGAATGGTATCTTAAATTTTTTTAATTTTGCTAACAGTCTCAACTTTGAAAACAAAACAGAAGCAAATGAAACATCACTAAAGGAACTGATGGAAGTCTCACCACGTTAAGATGTGTACCCTCTAATACTAACGCCCTAAAGTTACTAATACTAAAGAAATAAGCTGTCAAAAGAAAAGGGAGGAAAAAACCGTTGCAAGAGGTTAGTGCTTTTGACCTAATTTGCTATACCCACACACGTGGTCCATTATTCAAATAAAATAATGAAGGGTGATTAATATATTTATATAAGCTCACGAAAAAGCTTAAGCCTTGGCTGATGCAAACAGCAAGTAAAAATCTAGTCTAAACAGGAAAATATTGAAAAGGATTCACTCATTCACCAGAACACTTACCCTCCTTCACAAGAAAAAGTAGCTGTTGAACCAAATGTAAGATCTGTCACATTAATAAAACCATGTTCTAATTCTCCTGGATGTTTACATTTTCTCTCTAGGAAGAAAGAAAAAAAACCAAACCACTACATCTTTGTAGTTATATACAAAGACTAAGTCTTTGGCATATACTGCTTTCAGAGTCATTAGCACTTTTCAAGCTTTGTTTAACGTATTACGGAATACTACTTGTCCCTTGAAAAACAACTAAAATTGTTAAATATCAAAGTGAAAAAAGAAAAAGAACTCACACACACACTACCTGTACAGAACTGCTCTGTGGGTGACCACTGTAAGTCTTTACCACACGTACGAGCCGATGATTTCCCAGGGATTCTCATATACCCCGGCCGGCAGATGTACGACACCGTGGTTCCAACAGGAAAACTCTCCATTGCGCGGAACTCCTCCTCGAGCTCTGCATATTGCAGCCGTTCTGGACGCGTACACGTGCCTGTCAGCGTAAAAGGAAAGAAAAAGCAACAGACAGTCTGGTCAACAAGGAGAGACACAAGCTGAGGCATCACGGCATAGAATCCAGGCTAATTCAGTCGGTTTAAAGAACTCATTGGTAAATCACAGAGGTGACATGCTTAAGAGACACAGCTATCTGCATCTTTAACTAGATTTTCATTTTTTTAGTGTATATTTTAATTGCATCCAAATCCAGCTCTACACTAGTACAGCTTACTCATTTGTTTTCTCCAGTCCTTCTTTAGCATTCGACCCAGACAATACCTTTCCTTCCAGCTCACATCTTTTCTCTGTTCTCCTACTCTGGCCGATTTAACTCCCTGTGCACTCACCCGCAGTGAAATGCCCGTTCACCTCGCTGCAGGAAAACCCCACAAACCAGCCCCAGCTCATTTCCTCTCCTAAGACAAAGGGCAGGCGGACCCCAGAGGGGAGGTTACAACCCGCTGCACACCCCGCACAGCCCCGGGGACACGCTGCAGGTGTCAGACCCCTCCAGGGCGGAGGGCTCAGGAAAACACCCCCGAGCCCTTGCAACCCCCGTG